TTCTCCTTCCTCTGCTCCACTAAGCTACCTTTAGCTCATCTATTCATTTGCATTTGATGGTTCTTTCTACCTCTGTGTAAAGGTGAAGCTCCCTGTGGCCAATTTGCAGATGCACAGAACATGATCTTTTAAGAATTCACCCTGCACAACCGCCCCTTCCCTTCCCTTCCCTTCCCTTCACTCTGCCCCTTGATCTCCTCCTTCTACATTGCCCATCTTCTCTTCACTATCCAATCCTTCTCTCCACCTTTCCTTTATTTCACTCTAGCCTCTGCGTATGAAAGAAAACGTTTGACCTTTGAGTTTCTGAGTTTGGGTTATTTCACTTAGCACAATATTCTCCATTTCCATTCATTAACCAGGAAATGCCATAATTTCATTCTTTTTTATGCCTGAGTAGAACCCCATTGTACATAATTTCTTAATCTATTCATCTGTTGATGGGCACCTGGGTTGATTGCATAATTTACTATTGAAAATTATGCTGCTGTGAACATTGAGGTGACTGTATCACTGTAGTATTCCAATTTTAAATCTTTGGGGAAAGACCAAGGAGTGGTTTTAGCTGGGTCATAAGGTGTCTCCATCTTCTTTGTGTATTCTGGATATTCTTTGTGTATTCTGGATATTAATTCCCTAGTGGAGGGGTAAGTGGCCAAGATTTTCCCCCATTCTGCAGGCTCTCTTCATGCTCTGAATTGTTTCCTTTGCTGTGCAGGAGATTTTTACTTTGATGTCATCCCATTATTGATTCTTGGTTTATACTTCCTGTGCTTTGGGGGTCTTGTTAAGGAAGAGAGTGATAGCACCTCTTAATAGTGACATTTGAAGACGAAGGGTTCTAATTTTTATGGGGACCAACATTCCATTGTTTTATGATTAACAAGAATCTTGTTGTCCTAAGAAATATTTGTCTGATCTAATTTCACAGAGATTTTTCTCCTATGATTTCTTCTAAGAGTTTTATAAATTTATCTTCCACATTTAAGCCTGTTAGTGCTATAATACATTTCAGGCTAATGTTGTACTTTAAGGGTTGAGTTTCGTTATTTTTGCAGATGGATTTCCAACTTTTACAGCATCATTTGTTGAAAAGACTCCATTGACCATTTTTTTTTATTATTAAATTAACTTGGTGCCTTTTTATAAAATCAATGGACTGTATTTGTGTGAGTGTATTTCTGGATGTTCCATTGATCTGTGCATTTCTCCTTGTGCCAATGACAGACATTCTTGTCTACTGCAGAATCACACCAAATCTTGAACTCGGGCAGTTAAAAATCTTCTGATCTGGTTCTCCATCCCATAACATTTATGGAAGGTATGTATCCAGCTCTGCTCATTTATTTAGTGATTCATTAAGGAAGTATGGAGCATGTCAATGTGCCAGGCTTGGCTCTGGGGGCTGGAAGACACTCTTGGCCCTCCTGAGAGTTTTCCAGAGCTGAAGGGGGACGGGGGTTGGCTGAAGGGGGAGCGGGTTGGATAATCAGAAATATATATGTATATGTCTGTTTGTCAGATAAGCACTCTGGTGTGTGGGCAGGTAGTCATCAGTACCATGAAGACAGACCAACAGATAGAAGGGAGGTCAGGCAGAGACACACCGAGGAGGTGACTGGAGCCTAAGCCCAGGGAAGAGGGCGTGAGCCACGCAGCACCACAGCACTGCAGCACCACAGCACCGTGGGGAATGTGTTCCTGCAGCCCAGGAGCTGTTCGCTCTGGTTCCTGCCCTGAGGGAGCCTATATTTGTGTGGAAGGAATAAAAAACCCACTTAGTTCTCATTTCTGTGGACAAAATAGAGTGGGGAGACAGCCCAAGAGCCCCAAGGGAGGAGACAGGCAGTTACCAAAGCCCCAGGCAGCCCTGCCAGGGAGACCACAGGTGGACCGGCTCCAGGGCAGACAGGGCTTGGCGGTCTCAGGGATGAAAGGCCAGCGAGGACAGGAGTCCTCCAGGTGGAGTCCCACGGACGCACTGAGCCCCAGGCCACGGGGCTGGGCACTGGGGTAAGGGCTGGATTTTATTCTAAGGCGCATCGTGCAGCAACGAGGGGCTCAGGAGTGGTCTGTGCTTCTGAGCGGTTGCATGTTATGGAATCAATTCTCTTATTTAGCTGCTTCCGTGTAACTTAGAGGCCTGGATTTCAGAAACATCTAGAGCCTGGTTGCACCATCTGGAAACTTCCAGTGAGCTCCCAACCTGGGGTGATTCATGACAATGTCAGGAATAGACACACTTCACATTCTGGCTATTGCACTCACCTGGAGGCAGAGAGGACTCTTCATTTGACACCAGAAACAGCGAGCTGCTGAGTCAGGAAGTGCTCGTTGTCTTTCCACATTTCAACCAAGTGGACTTCTGTTTATTGTTTATGCTCTCTGTCCATCCCCAGCTACAAAAAATTTTTTATTTGAAAATAAGACCAAAGTTACCAAAGGAGTCACCAATATGGAAATACTACAGAGATTATCTGCACAGCCTTCCTTTCCTGATCTAGTGGCCGTTGGTCGGATCGTGTCCTCTGGAAGCTTTCTGTGTCTTTTATGATGGCGGCAGTTTGGGACAATATAGCTGCTCCCCTTCCCTCCCTCCACCCCGCTGCCCTTGTCACACGGGAGATTTCTTCATTTGGTGTCTGTGTGACCTTTCTTCATGATTAGGTGCAGCCCGTGCATTCTTGGCTGGAAGGTGAGACATAGACGGTGTTGGATGATTCCCGGTGCAGTACATCTGGAGGCTCCTGATGTCCACCTGTCTGTCACTGGTGACAGTACACACCCCCAGGCCTTCACCCAGCGTGGAGATGGAGTGGAGGACGGGTGGAAGAGCATTGGAGGGACAGGAAGACGGAACTGGCAGCAGTGCAAACCCAGAATGAGGACCCGAAGCCTGCTGTGAGGGTGTGCTACCAAGTACACGACAAACACACACACACACACACACACACACACACACAAACACCCCCTGCAACACACATACCCGCCCCCCACATGCACATACCACACACAGCACACAGGCTCAGATCCTCTTTGTAGTTTTCAGTTCTCAACGAGGTCCTGTTTTAGCACAGAGGCAGGTCATTGCAAGAAATATTTGGGAGAGATTTTTCAAATTTCTGCATTTGAACTTTGCATGTGCTCCCTCCCCGCTTTTTGACTTGTTGGGTTTTCCAGCCTTTGCAGCTATGATTAGGAGGTCTGATTGCCACCGTGTGCCTTGGCATAAAGCGGTGGCGTTTGGCCCTGGCAGGTTTTTAATTCTCCAGGGTGTTTGAAATACCCAGCGCTGCGCAGACCCCACCTGGGACCCACTGAACTGGGACTCTGAGGCAGGAGGAGCTGGAAGAGCCCAGGGGTACCTGCTGCGTACTGTGTGACGACCGTGGACTCCATCTCCGCTCTCTGGCTAAGTTCCGTGGCTGGCTGACACGCACTGAGCACTTGCTGGGGCAGGCCATGTGTCACAGGCATCTGAGGGCTTTGTCTTTGCAGCCTCCATTTTCCCTTTGGGTAAAAGCTTCCTGATTCCTCTTGGGCTGCCACCACCCCCACTTTCAGCTCATGTGGTTTTGGGGACACGGACCTGTGACCTTGACTTTAGGAGTAGACATGGATCTCAGTCTTGGCAAATTGATCAACTTGTACCCAGGACTTTCACTGAGATGATTGGCAAAATGATGCTCTCTCTCATTTGGAGCTTCAAACTGAGAGGATGTAAATGTAAAATTGCCAGGGGCTACTGCAGAGAAGGTACCATCCCAAGGGTGAAACCAACAAAGAAGACAGCAGGAAAAGAGATGAACCCTGGGGGGTATGGTTTGAGTCCCTAGATCCATCCATGCCTGAAGCTATCTCTCCTGTATCTCTAAATTATAAGTCAATAAATTCCTATTTACTCAAGTCAGTTTGAGTTGAGGTTTTTGTCCATTACAACCAAAATATTCTCTTCTAAAATATACTTAAAACTAAAAAAAAAAAAATTACAGTAAGTCTAGGAAGCAGCTCTTACTAGTATATTCATTTTACAGATGCTTTACAGATCTGAGGCTCAGGACGTTAAACTCTCCAGGTGATTCTTACGTATCCTTTGATTTCAGAATCACTGATATAGGTTATAATGGACCGGCTGCTTCTTAAGGATGATATCACTTCGCTAGAGAGATTTTTTTTCCTCTTTGATATACTTTTAATTTATTTTCTTCTCCTTTAAAAAGTGAGCCAAGAACTAACACAGGCTAGTTAAAGGGGCACTTAGAATCCGGGGTGGGGAGGTCTGCTAGCCCTGCACCTCAGCACACAGAGCTGTCCGTTCTCAGGTGGCTGTGGTCCTTGTAGGAAGATGTGTCCAACACACTTCTCTGCCCTGGGCCATTTCTCGCCTCTGTTTGGCCAAGGCCCATGTCACCTAGGGAAAGGGTTTTAAGCAGGACGAGGCAACGCACTGTACGTTTTTAAACAACACTGATTCTGCTCCGTGGAGAGCGGACCATGGGCATGAGGGCAGGCAGGGGTGCAGAGGGACCCATCACCCCTATGTGGGCCTTTCAGTAATTAAACCAGCACCGTCCCAGACACCGGGATGAGTCAATCACCCTAAAGCAGAAAGCAGAGAGAGAAGCTCTCCAGCAGGCTTTGACCAGAGAGGTGTGACCAGGACAGACTCAGAACACTGGAGCAGTGATAAGGTGTGACACTCAGTGAAGGTAGCGATAACAGCAGCTACTGCTTTAAGAAGCAGGTAGGACTGCAGCCTGGTGTGACCTTTACGGCAGGTGGGGCTGATGTCATTTCTAGGAGCCTGCATAAAATTTGATAAGGCCTTTGGGAAGCTGGTGGAGCAGGAAGTAGGGATATTTATAAAGAGAAGCCGTGCCTCCTTTGACCATGGCAGCACCCTCTCTGTTTGGGGCACATGTGAGCAGGACACAGTTGGAGGCCCGGGTTTTACTGGCAAGGTTGCTTTCTACACTCACTGCACCATCTTCCAAGTCCAGGGTGTAGGCAGGAGATGCGGCCCCTTTGCCTGGTGTTCTCTGCCCGAGCCCTCACCTGCCGCCCTGCTGCCATGTTGGTTCTTTACCTGGGCCATGGTCTGTCATTGGCAGGTGGGGTCCTTTCAATTTGCAAGGCCATCTGAGGGGTCTGCATGTATTGTAAACATGACGGGGTCCTCTCTCCAGTCCCCAATTAGATTTAAAAGAAAAAAAAACCCAATTCATAATATTTAATTAGACTTTTTGAAATGACTACAACTTTGTATGCCACGCTTGCTCATCTTTTCTCCAGGTGTTCTCGTTCTTTCTCGTGGGGAAGGCCAACCCCTTCTGTGCTTAGCCTTAACTGTAACTCGTGGTGGGGTGAGAAATCCTGTGCCGACCGAGCACCCAGTCCAGTGCTCAGACTCCTGGTCCGTCAGCCCAGCACCCCCAACAGGATGGGATTCCAGGTCACCCCTCTCAATCTCCAGGGTATCTTATCTAGATACCCATGTTTCTATCTATCTCTCCTCTTTTAAAACTATGTATCTATTTGCCATCTTTCTCTCTCTTTTCTTTCTTTCTACCAAGGTATCTGTTATCTATCTATATCTATGTATCTAGTCTACCCATACGTGTGTGTGTGTGTGTGTGTGTGTGTGTGTGTGTGTGTGTTTGTGTCTACCTATTATCTGTCTGGTCAATCTGCCCATCCATGCACCTATCCATCCCTGTGTCTATCTATCCACCCATGTATGTAGTATGTACGTAGTATGTATGTAGTATGTGTCTATCTATATATTGCCTGTCTATCCACTCATGTGTCTATCTAGCCATCCACACATCATCTATTTCCCATGCATGCATTTAACTACTATGTACCTACCACCCATGTATCTGTCCATCTCTGTCTGTCTGTCTGGTCTCCCACGCCTGGCCCTACTACTTTGTCTTTCACCTTTGCCTAAGCTTCCCCAGGCCACATGTTAGGTTTTCTGTAGAATGACCTTATAACTTTAGTCCCACAGAGGACACAGGACACAGGGTCAAGTACATGAGGTGTGGTTAACTCAGGTATAGATCAGGGCTGCCTAGATGCTGGGGTGTGTGGTGGGGGTGGTTAGGTATGTAGTGGGCCCTGGCAAGAGCGCCAAAGAGGTGCCCTGAGTGTGTTTTGCGCCCGGTCTAGGGAGTGGTGCAGAGAGGCCTTGTAGAGCAATGTCTTACAACCTCATAGAGAGGAGGTCAAAGGTGAGGGCCAAGCCTGTCCTAAGGAGTCTGGGGTTCAGTAGTGCAGAACTGCTTCACCGGGCATCAGATCCAGCATGGTGTTATTCCTTCCTTAAGGAAGGCCCGGTTATTACAGAAGAAGGAAAGCCGGTGCTGCGGTCAGACCTTCTGCCCACTGCCCCCCACTACTGCCGGGATTAGCCACAGGCTGGGTTTCTTCTCCAGGGCGCCAGGAGCAGCACTGGGCACTTCCCATCCAGCAGTCCCTTGGGAAGGTGTGCGGGCATCTTAAGTAGTTAACCTCTATTTAGAAAGGAACTTTTCAATCCGATAAATATGTCCAGTGCACCAAAACACACCCTCAGAACAACCCAGACTCTTAACTCCTCCCACTACTTAAGAACTACTAATAGCTGCTTGGTACTGAGTTAGCAGCACCCCGGGGCGGGAGGGTGCTGCAGGGAGCCGCGCAGGGGAATGGGGCGAGAGGTGAGGGGAAAGGGAGAGAGACCGGGCGCCACCAGTGCTGTGCAGCTGGGGAGGGGACAACCCAAGCAAGGTGCCCAACGTCTCGGGCGCCTCCCCCTTGCCAGTCACCACCATTTTGTCGCCAGGCAGAAGTGGAGATGCGAGCCCGTTCACAGCCCGCGCCAAGAGCCCTTGGTCCCGAGCGCGCTCAGTCCAGCCCGCGAGCGCAGCGGGCTGTCGCGGTGCCCCGACGCGGAGCGCGGCCCGACCCCTTCCTAAGAGTTCTGCAAAATGGTGTCGTCCTTGTCACCGGCGCCGCCCCGCTGCTGCGCCCCCAGCGCGGCCCTAGGAGCTTCCTAGGGCCTGAGGTTAACTGCACTTCATGGCTCTGGTCCCCAGGTGACCAATATTTTCTGCCACCTACGGTAGCAGCTCACACAAAAAGTGTCCCTGGAAGGAAAAAAAAAAAAAAAAAAAAAAAAAAACCAAACCCGAGCGATCGGGTGCACTCCTTGCTGGGAATCTTTGAACGCAGCTGCCCTCTGCTGGGGACACGCGAGGGCCGCGGCTCGCCAGGTCCCAGCCGATCCCGGCATCCTTCCTGGCAGGGGCCCGAGCTGTTTTAGGCCAGGGCTGGGGAGGGTGAAGAACGAAACCGAAAGTGCTGACAAGTCAGTCTCTTTTGGAGAACAGATAATGGGCTCACCTGGATCTTTTTCTGCCCATCTATTATTGAATTGTTGGATTTTATAGGTGGGAATTAGGAAAAAGAGAAGAGGCTGCAGAACACCACCAACTTTTTCCTCAAGACAGAGAGCCCTAGATCTCAGGTGGCTCAGTGGTTAGAGACAGTAGGACATACCATGACATTGTGAGAGTGGAAGAGAGCACCAAATCAGACCATTTAATCCAGCGCTGTACAAAGAGGACTTTCCAGGATAAGAATGTTATGTGTTGCTCCTGTCTAAGAGGGTAACCACCACCCACAAATAGCTGCTCAGTACTTGAAAAGAGGCTTATGAAACTGAAAAAACAAAATGTTTGCTTCATTTAATTTTTGTTTATCTGAATTTGTATTTAAATAGTTCCACATGTCTAGTGGCTTCATGTTCAGGTGTGGATCAGCAGCGCTCAGGCCATAGTGTCTGTAGGAACTGACCAGAAGCCTCAGCACAATGGTGGAAGCCCCAGGCAGAGGCTTGCTGGGAGAGGCCCCCCAACATCAGCTTGTTGAGCAAATAAAAACTCAACAATAAAAAGTCACTGTGCTCTGACTCCACAGGGATGGGAATTCAGACCCATTCTTGGAGATGAGCAGGAACTTTGAGGAACACAATTTCACTTGGGGAGTGCCAAGAGCCCAGTGACATTTCTTATGCACTGTCCAAGGCTGGCCCTGATCTTGAGCAACGGCCCTCACCCGTGGCTCTGCACTGGCAGTAGGAAAGTTCATCTTAACTTACTTCCAGGGCTTTCCTGGTAGCATCCTGAATGGGGGCTGGTTTCACGAGCCACTTTAAAAATTTCTTTAATTGTCTCCTGGTGTTATAGATTTGGCATTTTTGTTTCTAATTATACATTCCTGGGTGATGTCATGAAATCCCCAAACACCCGGAGGGGCTGTACTGAATAGGGAAAGACAATATGCTAACAAGTTATCTGGAGGTGTCAGAAAGAAATGATGAGAAACAGTACACTGGGGGGAAATGTTTTCCAGCCTGCTCTCTGGTTTTAGCAACTGCTCTGGAAGAGATAAGACACACATGGCTCTTATAAGGAGGCACTGGGGTCTCCAGGGAACATGAGGCAGAAGAAAAGAACTGGGCTGAAAACGTGCAGTCGTCGCATGTTCACGGAGAAAGAGATTGCAGCGTGGCCAGGGAGCTGCGGCAGGGACCTTTGGGGCAGAGATTCAGTGGGCTCTGGGACAACTTGACTTCAACTAGATGGTATTTGAATAATCTGCTAGAGAGAAAACAGATATAGCACACATTGTCACATTTAGCATTGAAACTCTCGGTTTGACTATGAGTAATGTGCAGCCATGCCCAGAGGTCAGGCCTACACTCACTCAAAAACAAGTGGGGAATTGAAGCAATTATTCAGATAATCCATAGACATAGTGCTATGGCCGGTGCTGCATCCTTGATTTAGCCCAGAAACAGTAATGCTATTATAAACTATTAGTGATTTGTGGAGCTATCTTGAATGTATTAAGGAAAGAAGATTA